GTCCCATCACTTCATGGCAAATAGATGGGGAAACAATGGAAACAGTAAGAGACTTTATTTTTCTTTGGCTCCAAAATCACTGCAGGTGGTGACTGCAGTCATGAAATTAAAAGATGCTTGCTCCTTGGAAGAAAAGTTATGACCAACCTACACAGTATATTAAAAAGCAGAGACATTACTTTGCCAACAAAGGTCCATCTAGTCAAAGCCATGGTTTTTCAAATAGTCATGTATGGATGTGAGAGTTGGACTATGAAGAAAGCTGAGCACTGAAGAATTGATGCATTTGAACTGTGGTGTTAGAGAAGACTCTTGAGAGTTCCTTGAGCTGCAAGGAGATCAAACCAGTCAATCCTAAAGGAAATCAGTCCTGAATATTCATTGGAAAGACTGATGCTGAAGATGAAGCTCCAATACTTTGGCCACCTGATGAGAAGAACTGACTCATTGGAAAAGACCTTGATGCTGGAAAAGATCGAGGGCATCAGGAGAAGGGGACAACAGAGGGTAAGATTGTTGGATGGCATCACTGGCTCATTGGACATGAGTTTGAGTAAGTTCTGGGAGTTGGTGATGGACGGGGAAGCCTGACGTGATGCAGTCCATGGGGTCAGGAAGAGTCATACATGACTGAGTGACTGAACTGAACTGAAAATATAGTTTATTTACAATGTTGTCTTAGTTTAAGGTGTAAAGCAAAGTGATTCTGTTGTACATATGTATGAATAAAAATATACATATTCTTTTCTTTACTTTCTCTTCTATTATAGGTTATTACAAGATATTGAATAGAGTTCCCTGTGCTATACTGCAGATCCTTGTTATTTATCTGTTTTATATATCATCATCATCATCATATAGTCCCTCAGTCATGTCTGACTTTGTGACCCCATGGTCTGCCAGACTCTTCAGTCCATGGGATTCTCCAGGCAAAAATACTTGAATGAGTTGCCAGTTCCTTCTCAGAAGTGTGTGTATGTCAAGTCCAAATTCCTAACTTGTCCCTCCTGCCTTCCCCTTGACATGTTTTCTTTACATGTGGTTTTTGCCCCCTTGTCAAAAAGAAAGAAAGAAAGAAAGAAAGAAAGAAAAATGTGAAGAAAAGGGGGAGAAAGAAGGATGGGGGAAGGAAAAAACAGGAAATTCAAAAAGAACAGGGATGGAGAGGAGGAAGAGGGAAAAGAGCTGAAAGGGTGGAAGCATCTAAGGTTCAGAAGTTTTACATCAAAATCCTTACTCAAAAATAACTTTGTAGGGTCAATAGAGCTCAGTTTAAATAACACCATGTATTGAATGTGTTTTTCTAAGGTGAGGCAGTCAGACCAGCAGTTATCTGCACTCCTTCTTACTTTTTCTTCTTTCTTTTATATAAATCTAGAAGGAAATAAGCCAACACAGATTTAGCTCCCAAATCCTAGTGGAACAACCACAGAAGAGAGCCATTCTCTCTTGAAGACAAAGGCTGGGAGAAATACAATAAAAATTCTAATCCTGAGACATGAAAGGGAGGGCACACTTATTACTTTTAAAAATGTATTTATTTATAATTGGAGGATTAATTACTTTACAATAATGTGTCAGTTTCTTCCATACATCAACATGCATCAGCCATAAGTATACACATGCCCCCTCCCTCTTGAACTTCCCTCGCAGGTCCCACCACCCCATCCCACCTCCCTAGGTCATCAGAGCTCTGGCTTGAGTTCCGTGAGGCATACAGCAAATTCCCACTGGCGATATATCTCACATGCACTGGTATTAGTTCCATCTTTTGGCCCAGGTCTCTATGGGAAAGGATACCTTCACAGGCAAAAGCATGGTTGGGAGAAGCATTCTGATCACTTCCTCTCTCTGCCACATCTTCCTGGAGGGGAAACAAACCCTGCCCAAAAGAGCTGAGAACCAGGACATGAGGCTCTGACAACAGGGCTACTTCTGTCTTTTTGTTGCATTTGCTTGTTTGTGTTCATTGGCCCAAGAAATGCATTTGTTTTCTAAGGCGTGATGTTAAAGAAGTCTCCGTTCAAGAGAACCACGAGGGCAGGCTTGGAAGGACTCAGACAGGCTGTAAATAATTAATGCTGGCCAACAATCTGTCTCATCACAAGGGCTTTAGATCGGTCTGGTGACTGGTGTATTGAGAGAATAAGAACCAGAGCTATCAGGGCTAAGATGCTGCCTCCAACACTTGTGTTCATAACAAACTCCCCCATCAGAGGTTAGCCCACAAAAAGGGCTTCATCTAATTTTATAGTTGGAGAAATAAAGGCAAAAAAGAGAGAAAACTGCTTTCCCAAGGTCACATAATAAAGGTAATACAGTTATGCATGTTCAATCACTCAGGCATGTCCGACTTTTTGTGACCCTATGGCCTGTAGCCCTCCAGGCTCCTCTGCCCTTGGAATTCTCCAGGCTAGAATACTGGGGTGGGTTGCCATGCCTTGCTCCAGGGGATCTTCCTGACCCAGAGACTGGACACACATGTTTCTGGATCAGTTAGTACTTCTTGATGTCACTGGTTTTAACACAAGATAGGTTCTGAACAGTTTTCATTTGCCATTTTGGTATTATGGTAAAGTATATATGGTATCAAACTTAACATTTTAACCACTTTTAAGTGTATAGTTCAGTGGCATCGGGTACATTCACATGGCAATCATCACTACCATTCATGCCCCAACTTTTTCCATCTTCTCCGACATTAAACAGTAACTTCCCATCTCTCCTCCCTCTACCCCTGCCAACCACTTCTGAACATTCTTTTACAGCAAAAAGGAGTGTTGACTTTGACCTTGGTTTACAACCAGAAATGTAATTAGATGCAGGAGCAGGGTGAGGAGGGGGTAAATGTCAATTCAGCACTGACCGTCTTTGGTAGGAGACACCTGGGGAGTGTGCCGTGGTATGTGTGTGTGTGTCTTTAAAAGATTCTCCACCTCCCGGCCAGCCTCCTCACCGTTTGCCACTGGGTTTTGCAGCCTGCCGGCTGCCTCAGTCCAGGCTAGGAGCTGGCAATCTCCTTTGTAGTTTCAGGAGCAGTTTTGTTGCCATGGAGGCCACATTCTGATTTGCGCAATGTTAAGGTAATCCTTTGCTTTTAGTTTCAAAGATCTGCCCCAAAGATAGGCTGTTGCTCTTCTTCTGGAAAAGCCTGATTGGTAGGTTTCCTCCAAGCGCTCAGTCTGAAGTGCTTTATCCTATCCTCTCACCAACTTCAAAACTCAAGCTCTCCCAGGGCCTCTGGAAGGGAGTCTGGGGCTTCCATCGATTTCCACAAATGGCTGATCCTGGAGGTGGTGCTGTTTGCAATGGGACGCTTCACAATCAGCGTGCCGCCGACTGTCACGGGGGAAACTGCTGGAAGAACGGGGTGGTGAAAGAAGCTCAGGTAAGAGGCGATCCCTACCCCTTCATCTGAATGACCGGAACACTTCAATATTTTTCTGTAAAGCTCTTTGTAGCTGTCCTCGTTGAAAAGTCCTTGGCAGGAAGTGTTTTCCATGTTTGGAGTCTTCGCTTTGGCTCATTTCAAATGCTTGGCTACTAAAAAGTTTAGATGTGGGTTAAGGAGGGACTTTCTTCTCTATATAGGAGAGGAGACATGTAGATCCAAGAGCTTTCAACCCCTAATGTACAAACATCCCTACTAGACTGTTGTTTTCTCTCAAGCGTTTCAGGGAGCACAGTTGCAAAGGCTAAAATTCTTGTGCTGAATTTCGGTCCCTCAGAAAATCACAACAGACTGCCTTCACCATGCTTCATGAGAAATAAAAAAGGAAGTGAAAGTAAACACTGCTGAGATTATGTGGAGTGGGTGGTATTTTCCCCTGGTAGAGGAGCAATGCCTGTCTGCTTGAAAGGCGACTTCTTTTCGGGGTTCCGTGGGGCCTTGTCAGAACTCACAGCTTGATTTGGGGCCAAAGTCTTTCTTTGAAATTTGACATCACAAGCATTCCTTTTTATAAGACACTTCAGAAAGCGTGGCTTATTGTTACATGCTGCACACAGGAACCAAACAGACTTTGAATTGTTTTCCCCTGTGAGGCTTTAAAAAAAAAAAAATGCACTCCTGCTGTGGCAGAATGTTTGAGGGGAATGTGCTGAGGAGGAGGAGGAGGAACCCGAAAAATGTTGTCAGCTTATTCAAAGAGGGAGCCAAGCCGGGTCTGCAAGCTACTTGTGAAAACAAGCAGGCAGTCCCCAGCTTCTCATTGGATGCCCAGCTCTGAGCCGCAGGAGCAGCAGGGTGATCTCACCTGCTTGGGAGCAGATTAGCATAGGCAAACCAACAGCTTTTCTGAGAAGCTGGGTGGCAAGGAACCCACTCGGGAGAACTCGGGGGAAGGAGGGGAAATCTGATGGTTCTAAGATCACCGGACAGGTGAGGCTGTTTGGAGGCCAGCCCACAATTCAGTGAATTAAATTCATGTGTCCAGTGGGACGAAAGAGGTGGAGAGGGGAACCGCTCTGGAGTCTGGGTCGTTTGTGAATAGGCTGTAGTCTCCAGAATGTGTTCCTCTCTCGACAAAAGACCTTACCCTAGCCTTGAAGTGCCTACTAAAATCCTCAGGTCTGTCCTCCTCCAGCTGACTACTGGGTCGGTCAAAAAGTTCATTCAGGTTTTTCCATGCTATCTTCCTGACAAACCTGAATGACCTTATTGGCCCTTCCAATATAATGTGAAGAAAAATTATTCAAGTCTCATTATTTGCATGAGAGGGATCATACTAATTCCCACCAACTTTTCATCACTGAATCAATTCAGATCACTACCACTCAAGACTCTCTTTGCCCCTAAAATGACTGTAACACTGACCCCTGACTTACTCACCTTCTGAACCATCCCAACCCCGAGGGCTCTCGTGTGGGCAGAAATGCCTTCAGGGAATTCCTCTCTCTGTCTCTACTTTATCTTAGTTTCTGTAACCACCCTCTAGTGTCTGAGGCTGGAGACTTAGCTAGGTGGTGACGACCACTCCTAAGTAAAAAGAAAAGCCAGAATCCAGATTTGTTACTAAGTGCTCCTACAAGACTGTAAAGAACTTTGAATTTACTGACACTTCCCTAAGAACAGCAGGAAATATTAGGGCAGCCACTGCCTTTTCCAACTGCTCTTTCTAAAGGAAGGAACATCCAGGACCTATTTGCTCAGATATATTTAGGTGTTACTAAGTTGAAATTGGCTTCCCCTGAGAGCTTCAATTATGGCTTAAAAAGTATGTTCCAGAAAGAAGAAACCCTGCTGAGTTCTTAGGGCAGTAGGGCAGACAAGGGTCTGTTTTCCCCTCTGTGGCTGTAGGTGTGGTTGCCTTTACCATCATGATCCTCAGTCACTGGTTTCAGTCCATTTCGCTTTGAGGACACCTTAAGCAAACTGAGTCTTGACCAAAAGGCTTGCACCTTGAACCCAGTCCTCACGGAACAAACTCACTCTTGGAACCCAGCCACCATGTTTGAAGGAAGCCAAAGCAGCTCAGGAGAAGCCCAAGCAGAGAAAAACCAAGTAACCCAGCAAGATGCAGTGCCAGCTGGTCACCCGCGTGAGTCAGCTGGCTCAGACGTGGGTGCCCCAGCCCTGGAGTCTGTCTGTTCCCATTGTACTTTGTGGAGTGGAGATGACTTGTCCCTATTGCTCCCAAGTTGCTTCAGTTGTGACCGACTTTGCAACCCCGTGGGCTGTAGCTGCCCACCGCCCACCCAGGCTCCTCTGTCCATGGGATTCTCCAGGCAAGAATACTGGAGTGAGTTGCCATTTCCTTCTCCATGTCCCCAACTGGCCCTGCTCAGATTACAGATTCTTGAGCAAACAAGTGGTCTTGTTGTAAGAATGGTGGTGATTTATTAAACAACAATAAACATGTAAGCACATGGGTATTCTATTTCTTTAAAATGCCTAGAAAAATCATTCTACAATCTTATTACAACCATTTTCAGTGCCTTCAATTTGAGGAAACAGTTTTGGCCATCAATAATTAGCAAAGATTCCTTTTCCTAAGCTTTGTATTTTTATCTTGTTTTATTTTGTATTTTGCATAAGGTGAGTGTCTTATGAAAAATGCTCACTCTTACTCACTTAAGATGAGTATCTGGCTGGTAAAACCAAACACAGTGAACTCATAGGTCACCAATGCAAAAGCACAATCATTTAAATGCTGTCAAACCCAAAGTGTAATTATTCAACCTAAGGAGGTCTGTAACTTGCTCCCTTATCTATGAGGAAATAGCAGGCAAAGAAGGATGCGTGTATTCAGGTTTAGCCGTTTTGTTAATTGAAAAAATACATATTTTAAAGTATATTTAATATCTTCCAATTATAAATTAATTTTATCTATTGGTTAAAGTTTCCTAGAAAATTATTCTCTTTAGAAACACAAGTAGAAGTAGATTGATGTTAACCTAATTATTCTCAAGGAATCCACTACATTTATTTTGAAATACACTTGTTTTAATCTTCCTACTCAGTATTGTTATCTCTTCGTTGGCCTGAACTAATGTTGTTTTACTGAAATTCTAAAGTATGCCGACCCATAAATTCATGTGGGAAGTTGTTGCCACCATATTATTGATAGAAAGTCATTGGGCCATTAATTCACAAATTAAACACTTGGAAACAAACACTATGAGCACAGCTCAGAGAAATATTCAAAACTGTTCTCCATAATTGACTTCATCCATCACAATTCTTTCTAAATAATGTTTCGCTCAAACGCTTTCCACTTTGTAGATCATTTGATTACAGCAGAGGTTGAGATGACAAATACCCAGCAGGCTGGCAAGGCCTGGTGTGGACCACAGAAAGCGGTCAGCGTGGATTAGGGCTTCCCAGGTGGCTTAAGGGTAAAGAGTCTGCCTGCCAAGCGGGAGACGCAGGAGACGCACGATCAGTATTTGGATAAGCAAGATCCCCTGGAGAAGGAAGGAGCAACCCACCCCAGTATTCTTGCTTGGAAAAATCCATGGGCAGAGGAGCCTGGTAGGTTACAATCCATGGGGTTGCAAAGAGTCAGACACTACTTAGCAACTAGACAACGGTAACAAAGCACGTGTTTACCTGAGTAGAGCAAGCCAACTCAGGTAACAACAACAACAACTACTCAGGACAGTGTTGTGTTGACAGATTTTATGATTTTCAAAAGAAGCTGGAAATCCAGATGGGGGAGGGGGGGAAGAGAATATCCTAATTTTTAAGTATTGTCATTTAATCCTTCAAAAGGCCAATAGTGTAGATTTCAAGGAGACTTTGCTACCAGCCACAAATCTGTAATCTCTGAACTATTGTTGTTTAGTCATTAAGTTCTGTCCGATTCCTTGTGACCCCATGGACTATAGCCCACCAGACTCCTGCATCCATGGGATTTTCCCAGCAAGAATGCTAGAGTGGGTTGCCATTTCCTTCTCCAGGGGATCTTCCAGACCCAGGGATCGAAACTGCATGTCCCACATCTCCAGCATTCAAGGCAGATTCTTTACCGCTGAGCAGCCAGGGAAGTCCTTCTGAGCTACAGGATGAGAAAAATAAGAAATCATAAATAGAGTGATTCAGGGAACTTGGATCTTCTTAATGTAGACTCATTTTATATTTTAAAAAGCAATAGATGTATCTTCTTAATTTTCTTGAGTTGTTATATTAATACATGTTCCTGGAGTGTGCAGGTTTGAGGAACAACCCTGACTCAACCATGTATACTGGGTTTCCCAGACAGACCCTGATGTCAAATATTAGGTGTCAAGAAGTCACAGAACTGACACCATTTTACTGCTCAATCTTCCTCTCTCAAACTTTATAGGAAGTGACATACAAACCTTTTGTTAGACAGTGCACTCATATATCTTGGTGACCATTATTATTCTCTAGCTATGATATAACTGGGTTTTCACAAGTTGCCCAGGAAAACAGCTTTGTGTAAATATGATTATCCTGTCAACTACATGTTATACCTGACTTATTTCCATTGCCAAGTAGAGCTTTTCCTTTGGGAAATCAAGGATCCTTTGGGAAGCTAATAGATATTTTCTGTATTGCAGAATTTTCCATGTAGAAGGTTCATGAGTTCCTAGACTTTCTCGGGTCCCCAGATTAAGAACCTTAACTCTCACCCCAGTCAGAAAAACCAACAAACCCGTCTTTCCAGAGAAGTCAAGGTAAAGGGATTCATAAATTGACTTACCAAGGAGAAAACACACACACACACACACACACACACACACACATAAGCCAAAGTGATTCAACAAGACCACTTGTTATTAATCTATTTAAAAACTTTATATTAGAATTTTGTACCCCACTTTTTAATACTATTTTCAAAATATTTCTTTTACTATAAAACTATGTTTATATCCTGCCTTAAAGCCTTGAGTGAAAATGAACTCTCCAGGGAGATATTTCTT